TTACCAGATTAATTGTTCTCAAATCAAAGTTTCGCGAAAATTACAGTTAAAAACTGCGAACTTCGACAAATAACCGAGTGTGTTTAGTCGCCACCTTGCATTGCGGTATATATATACGGCGTACTCTACACCAATCTTTCTGGTTGATATTCATTAGAATAAATGAATTCAGGCCAAGAAACAAGCTTAAATGCCAAAACTTATAATTATTTACTAGGGAAGAAATATTTCTCCTCTTTTCTTTGGATTTCGAAGGAACGTTTGATTTTGACTGCTCTAACTAGAGTGTACAGCCGTTTGACTGATGTCTTCTGAAAAGTGCAACGACCATCTGCGTTCTAGGAATAAACAGCTTTTCAGATTTTAAGGCTTAAAGGAAATCAAAAAGTTAAATTACCTCACCCAGATGTTGGTGCCAACGAACTGGACTGAACTGGTCTACCGAAATGATGATTTTCGGTACACGCGTTCATTGATTATAATGAGTCGTTTGCGCCATCTTCATTGGCAGCTGCCACCTGTTCTTAAAGCTGTTTGGCATCTAACTGCCACGTCAGTACTGACTTTCGGCCTTGGTATGTGCGGTAACCCTTCGCCATCTTTATATCGAGAAAACTACACCATGATTGCTTTGATAAAAACCGTGCCTTCGGAACGGTGACTTGACTGAAGCACTTAATGCACTTTCGATTTCCTGTAAGTTCTCTCTAAGGCAGCCGCACTCCAAGATGGCGGCGGCAGCGTCAAGCCTGAAAGATCTTTGCAAGATGTAGTCTCTGTGGTTGCTGTGATCAAGATCATTCTTTTCTGTGGAATTTATTCAGACCGGAATAAATCCAAAATCTGCTGATAAAATTCACTAAATCAAGAAGGAAAAACTCTGATACTTACAGTTACTCTTCAGTCTTGCTTGTTCCATCATTCTCCACAATTCCGAATGTCCGTTTTAACATGAAACCTTAGTTAGCATGTTTACCGCTATTCAGTCGACGGTCAAGTACTTTACACCAAAAGGTTTTTAAAATGCTTTCAGTGTACAATGTTGATATGGTTAGTGAATTTGAATTTGTGAAAAAAATCCCCGTCTCTGATGACATCATCAAAGAATCCAGAAGAATGCAAGTCAGTTTGATTCCACTAAACTATCATTTTGCTTGTTTGAAACTACCCCAGTCAAATTGCTACGTTAATAATTGTGTAGAGAAATTTCGACTTTGTTTTGTAACAAAGGAGGTAAAGTTAATACGTAGATTGGAAACTTCTTTTTGTTAATTGACCCTGACTGAGAGCGAGTCCTGGCAAGTTTGTATGCTTGATTAACCGCGTGTCAATCCAACTGAAATAATCATGATAAAAAATACCGTAGGTGTTTTCTATTCTGTCAATCACGACTAACGGTATACACTTCAATGGCTGTAATTTCAAAGAACCGTGGTAATAGCCCCTCGCGTTAACGTCAGACGAGCAAATTTCATCAAGCCTCGTTTTGAAATTGTAAATTTGCGAAAGTTTGAATAAATGCATTCCCAAGAAAAGGCAGAAGAGTTCAAAAGAATACCCAAACGAGAACTGGTGGTGAAAGTTGCTCGTCTGACATAATCATGCATAAGGGCCATTTGACATTGCGTCAGTGTCCAGAAAAAAAAATCCAAAACAGCTAGATTTCACTTATAGTCTTTGTTTGTCCTCTACTACATAGCTTTTCGGCTTGAAAAAATGTCAATATTTTTGTTGAGGACGACAGGATTCAATGACCTTGTATGACCCCTTTATATTACGGCCGTAAGTAAAAATCACGAAATTCTATACACCCTAAAACATGCAAGTTAAATCACANTCGGCTTGAAAAAATGTCAATATTTTTGTTGAGGACGACAGGATTCAATGACCTTGTATGACCCCTTTATATTACGGCCGTAAGTAAAAATCACGAAATTCTATACACCCTAAAACATGCAAGTTAAATCATAGTTAGTAGCTATGGTTAAATTGAGCTCCTGTTTTCGAGTTATATCCCATTTCCGGTCGTGATTCGCCGTCGGCGAAGCCTCTCTCTCAAAGCGAGAGCAAAAGCGGAAGTCCTTGATTAAAGAGTCATGTCCCATTCATATGCCAATTGAGCCATTCATTTTCATACATTAAAATTCTGCATTAATTTGGCCTCAGTTTTTGGAACTCTGACCGTGAACGAAGGTACAATAAAAAAATTCCCAAAAAATGCCACAGCTCAGTACAAATGTGCTGTGAATGGGCCCTGTTTAAAAGGGTAAAATTCCAACAAACGACATGGCCTTTACATCATGTGACCTAAAGAGAGATGGAAATGGCGACAAACGACATATAGACAAGTTGAAACTGCGACAGCGGTGATGATAAGCTCAAATAAAATACCAGACTAATTTTGATTATTAAAATTCAAACTTAGCTCCAAAGCTTAAGGAAATAAAGGTGATGTTACACGGGACGATTCGCAACGACGATTTTTTGCGCAACACAGGGTTGCAACATTGCGGCGACATTGTTTTGAATGCTTGCAATATTGTTCCAACATTGCAACGCTTTTGCGAATCGTCCCGTGTAACATCACCTTAAAACAGACAATAGCACGTATGGTCATGGTTGAATAATCGATTTCTTTTATTTGTTTGTTTTTCCCTAAGCCACCAAGCCAAATGCACTGTACCACACCTTTTCCTGTTTACCAGTGCCAGCACAGGGCCCAGAGGAGATGTGTTTGTCGTTAGAACATCAAAACCCGTCGAAAACCTCTGAAAAATGGGTTATTTTTTCGTTACACATTCTATAGACCGCAAACCAAGAGACTGAGGGCTCTCAAGATCGGTTTACCAGGCACTTCGTGCCTCGGTCGTCCTTCGGGCGACGGTCTTCGGTCACCCTTCGGGCGACGTGCCGTGCGCCAGCGAGGATATGGCTTGCGGTTATTGATTTTCAAAATGGCGAACAAAAAACTCGATCTGGGTCAGATAAGAAGAGAAGAAATCGTTTACAGTAGATTCATAAAGATCGCATTGGGTTAATTAATCGTGCTAAGCGACAGGTATAGACATTTTTCAAGGTGAGACTTTAAATAAGTAATTCATTTATTCACGAAACTCCTCTGGACCCTGTGGTGCCAGACAAAAAAAGAAATGAAAACGCTGGCACAGTCAACTCTCTACGGACACTTCCTTTGGGAACAGCACTGGCTGTCCGTCTTAGGGAGGTGTCCTTCTTATAGAGAGTCGAGCTATCGTGACACCAGTAACTTTTAAATTGAACTTATTAGCAATGTATATGTTGCAGTTGATTTTTATTTCAGTTAATTTTGGTTTTTCCTTTGTTTTGAATTCATTAACATACATTACCATACCAAAAAACAATGGAAAAATAAAAATTAACTGAAATAAAAAAATAACTACATATACACGTCTGTTTATCTTGTACAAAACCGGGAAAATTGGAACATTGTAACAGAAAAGTGGAATTATTTTGTCATTGTGCAATCAACCGTTCATTACAAGCAAACGTTCACCACTTCGTGGTCTAAAAGCGTAACAGTATACACTCTCCGAACTAAAGCACGACTACAAATTATCAAACATTCCATTTTTTGGGTATTTCTCACAACATAAAGGAACTTCAATTCCCAAAAATGACTGTTGACGGTTTTAAAAGTGTCTGTTGTCGGTGTTGGGTGTAAAATGACTGAAAAACGGCAGACCAACGCCATGTGTCTATCTTATAGAGGTGTCCGTTGAGAGAGTGTTGACTGTATAATTATGGTGTCTAATGATTGTCTTGTCTGTTCTTCAGTCAAAATGAAACATTCCCCAAACTACTTAGTTAACTAGGTCACCCTTTTGTGTTGGCAGGCAGGGTCAGCCTCCTAACGGGGCCAACTTCTTTTCTTACTTAGGTTTTGTTTGTCTGTTTGTCTGTTTGTTACGGTACTCGTTTGCTTTTCTCCAATCCATTACTAGGTACGGTCGATATCCTTTCTCTGTTAACAGCTCCCATTGTGCAAAGAAAGTCATGTCCTTTAGCCTGGACTCATGGATTTGCAATTGGGCTAGTGAAACCTGTTCTTAACTTGCCCAAAGGGCAAGTGAAATATTCTGGAGGAATTCAAGTTGCAGAAGTATTGTAAGACAAGTGGTTTAAATTCGCAATAAGTTCATCTCGATCAAAAGCTGTTTTCAAGCTGATCTGATGAAGTGAAAGTACTGCACTTATTATTACAGTACAATGACTTAACAAAGCAAGTAATTATAATAATTAACTATGGTACATAAATAACTAATAAATCTTAATAAATTAATTATCAATCCTGTTTGTCAAAAACATTTTTCTGTGGGCTCATTATATTCACTCTAGAGTTAGTACGTGCTACAATCAGTGACAAAATAAGTTGAGACACTGCTCTAAAGGGCCTCTGTGACATTTTTACCGAAGTACCTAAGGAGGGGAAAATAAAGCTTTCCCTCCCCCACCCCCTCCAAGCAATTTGTTGTGCCGCTTTTCAAGCTACCTGTAGAAAACAGCAAAGCTCCCAACTTTAAATGGAAGGGAGGGGGAGGGGTGTGGATTGTTGTGTTTTCTGAAGTTACCTCGAGGACAATGTCTCAACAATGTTGTTGCCAACTGTAGCAAAAACTGACTTTTTTGAACCCTGGTTCTTCAAAAGCTTATAGACTTAAAAGTTATTTAAATTGCTAGGAAATGTCTCTCATAGGCATTTGTATCTCATCTGCATTCTCCCCTTTGGAAAATCTTTTATATAATTTTCAACTTTTTTTTTTCATATGTTTGTTGTTTCCCAAGCTGATAAACTAATGGCACAATATAATGAGATCCAGTCACTTAAGTACACCTTTCAACATCTTTCACATGATATCAACTATGCATAGACTTTTGCTTACATGTAAGGTTGTAAAAGAAAAAATAGGCCTAAATTCGAAAGGCTCAGTTATGCCCCAGGCTGTAAATTATTCCCAGGGTCCTTAATCATCAGAATGTTGTGCACATGAACTGATGCCTTGAAAGTGTAAGTGTACTGCCCCCTTAATTTCTTTGCCACACTGGTAACAAAAGGGTGTCTTACAAGACCAACATTTTAAATGGTTATTGTTGCTATTCTCTTTGAGACATTTCTGGTGACAGCGGGGACATAGCTTTGCTCGTAATCTTCTTCTTGGGTTGGCCTTACGATACTCTTCAATCAAATTTTCACCCACTGTTGGCTGTCTGACAGGTATGTGGAAGCCTGGTTCAAGCCTCCCACAGTTTCCAAAATGGTCATAGCCAGATATTGCCTTTCCTGAAGAAAAAAGAAGTGTTTATTGGAATAATTTAATAGAATAAACTGAAGGACAACCTTCAAAAAATAAGACAATTAGATTTATATTGTTATGGCACAAAATAATTTTAGGATTGTGTTATTGTTTGCCTGTAAAACTAGAAGTTGATCNTAAGTGTACTGCCCCCTTAATTTCTTTGCCACACTGGTAACAAAAGGGTGTCTTACAAGACCAACATTTTAAATGGTTATTGTTGCTATTCTCTTTGAGACATTTCTGGTGACAGCGGGGACATAGCTTTGCTCGTAATCTTCTTCTTGGGTTGGCCTTACGATACTCTTCAATCAAATTTTCACCCACTGTTGGCTGTCTGACAGGTATGTGGAAGCCTGGTTCAAGCCTCCCACAGTTTCCAAAATGGTCATAGCCAGATATTGCCTTTCCTGAAGAAAAAAGAAGTGTTTATTGGAATAATTTAATAGAATAAACTGAAGGACAACCTTCAAAAAATAAGACAATTAGATTTATATTGTTATGGCACAAAATAATTTTAGGATTGTGTTATTGTTTGCCTGTAAAACTAGAAGTTGATCAGATTGTATCTCCTAAATAGGAACTGGGCATGAAAAATTAATAATATCTTGATTGGTCAATTATATGTAGCAAATGACAGAATCCATTAGGAAATTGAGTAATTTTAATTTTCAGTGGGCAAAAACCTTGTACCAGAATAATTTCAATCATATTGCATCCTTTTTTACACTTTTCAAGGGCTATAAATTTAATACGTTATATGAAATCACTCCAAAGAAAAGGTTCTAATGGGAGCCAGAGAAAATAAACTTCAAATGCTTCAAATTTCACAAAATGAAATCTTGCATATGATAATTTTACCTGTGTTTGCTCAATTCCTGTGAAATTTGAAATTTCTTTTCTCAGGCTCCCAAAAGAAATTGTCTTTGGCGTGATTACAGATAACTAATTATATCTATAGCCCTTGAAAAGTGTAAAAAAGAATGTAATAATTGGCTTACAATATTCTGGTACAAGGTTAATTTTGTCCACTGAAAATTAAAATAATTATAATTATTATTAATTTTTACTCACTTTCCTGGTAGATCCTGTCTTAATAACAATATACAGTACAGGAAATACAAGAAAGCTCACACATGTACAAGCCTCAAGTTAGGAGTCTCTCACATCTCCTATTGTGTTGTGATATACATGTACGATATACAGCTGTACACTTAATAATGCTTTTGCACATGTAAAAAGATAAAATCACCAGATCAGTTTCAACTCAAGATTATTGCAAGATACACAGTTGTATGCAAACAAATTGACACTGACACTGGAGGTGGTTAAGGTTAATTGTAGACAATTCACCAGGGGTGGGTGAGTGGATTTTAAGCCATCGTTTTGAAAGGGATGAACCATGTGTCTTATGACTGCTTTTTTGGTAATGTTCTTGACCAGTGACAATTTCCCCCTGCCCCCTCAAACAAACACTCTTTCAAATAGCCTGTTTTAGAGAAAAGGTCAGACTGGCATTTTCATATCTTTCCATTTTCTCTCATGAAAACACGAGTACTTATCGAAGCAAAATAAATGACCTAATGAAAATTTCAACAATAATAATTAAGGTAAAGTTGAATCTGTAGTTATGGATACCGCCATAATAGAGACACAGGGTTGTCATTAAGAGCTGGGGGCCGGGGATTTTCCCCGGCTACTAAGAGAGTGGCCCCCGGCTACTTTTATTGGAAAATAGAAGAAAAATAGAACCAAAAGAAATCCCTAGCCATTTGATTCCCCGCCTACTTGTTGTATTTACCCGGCAACTTGAAATCTTAGTGACAACCCTGGAGACAGCTCTCTCTATTATGGAAAATTCACCTGGTCCCAAAGATACCAAACTTCACCTATTCCCTAACTCTATAATACAGACCCCTCCGTAATGCAGATGGTTCTGAACCTTTGGTGCCCCATTAAAGGGATTTTAACTTTAATCTCCATACACTGCAGCACTGTCCTTTATAAGACACATTAAAATTCATTAGTTGTACATACCACATTGCCAACAAAAGCTTGCACCACACTGCGAACAATGCATCATGTCGCAGCCAGTTATCCTCTCAACAGCCATACGACACTTTGGACAGTACTGATACCTCCCCTGCTGTTTCATCATACGTATAAAGGATAGATTGCTCATGTTCATTTTATGCTCTCTTGCTTTCCTTCTTTTCTCTTGTGCTCTAAGGGATATAGCAGCCGCTTTTCCTCCCTTCTCCTCGTAATCTTTAGTTTTCTTTGATTTCAAAGGCTTCCCTGTTTTTTTACAATTCTCCTCATCAGAATCTGAGTCACCTGAAAAACATGGCTGGCCATGATGCCAGGGCTCATAGCATTCTGTACAAAATGCATGAAAGCAATTAGCACAATGGCCAAGTCTTGAGCCTTCATCTTCATCAGCAACAACTGCCATGTTACATCTTGGACAGTAGACTATATCGCCCATTATATCAAGGGTCTTTGTTAAAAGTAGTCTTTCCCATCGCTGCAATTTATCAGTATCAAGTATCTCTTGAAGAATCTCTGGTGGGAGCATTGTCTGGCATTCATGGCTGGGGCATTGAAGATTAAGTACAGTTCCACTATCAACATGTGACTCGCAGTGTGCTTTCAAGCAATCAGTGCAGAAAAAGTGCTTGCATTCATCCAGGTAGTGAAATTCTGTTCCATCCCTTTCATCAAAGCAAATTTCACACAAGTGCATGGTCTGTCTAAAAGCTTGCCTCTGCATGTCAAGGTCACATTCAAAGATGGTTAACAATGCTGTCTCTAATTTCGTATTAAATAATGCACTATTTGTGGCTTCATCTGTTTGTGGCAACTCACTCTCAGGCTCTTTTAGAACTAAGTGTGCACCTAGATGCAAATACTCATATACATCGTTTTGAAGCCAATCAGCCCAAGTGAAGATTACTGGTAAATTTGGATTCTCTGTCCACAACTGCATCAGCTTCTCATGCACTTCTTGCAGTTGACTTTTAGTGAGCCACAGGCAGGCCAGGGAAAAATTGGGTGGACACTCAGTGGGGTAGAGTGGAGGTAGTGAACAAGTAAGATGTATTGGAGTCAAGTATTGAATGTCTGCATTCACGTGCCAGTGTTGCAAAGACACAGTCCTAGTAAAACCAGGTCTTCTTGGGTGTCCTAAAAAACTCTCAGGGGAAGTGTCAGGAGGTGTATTGGTCTGGTTTTGTTCTATTGAACATCTATTGAAACCCATTTCTTCGCCAACGAGATGGTTTTCATCGAATGAATTATCTCTCAACGGTCCACAATCAGAATTTTTACTTGCTTTAAACTCTTCTGCCAGGCTCTCTCTCGCAGGATCATCATCAAGATGACTGCTTGGAAGTTCTTCCAATACTTCAGCTGGGATAAACGCCTCCAAGTTGATTACATCGTGAGGAATATGAGCCTTGACCTTCAAACTAAAACAAACGTTTGAACGCCCATCACTCCCTTGGAGGATTTGCAAATCATCCTCGAAGATAGACTGAAGAACGGTGATTTCTTCTTTTTGTTCTTCGAGCGAATCTTCGCACAGAACTTCCAAACATTCAGCCATGATCTTTGGAGCTTACTTTGATCTCTTGCTTTACATTGACAAATTAAGTGATTGATTTCTCCTGTCCATTCGAATTGTTTTTCATAGTTTTAATTTATCATGATTTATCTTGGCCTATTCATATTTCTTCCTGTGGTGCAATCTGCACCCTGCCATTTTTAATTTATGATTTCGTTATCAAAGAATGCTGGGATATCACTCCCCGCTGCGCGTATTTTTCGCGCGCGTTTCCATGGGAAACAGTTTTGTACCTAGAGATTTTTGCTTTTTGTTTGTGTTTGTTTGTTTGTTTTTTTTCTGTGATAACAGTAGACGACGGGAGTAGACCGTCATTTTTTCAGGGATACTAGTGGAGGGAGAAAAGAAAAATCCCGGCCGTGAGGACTCGAGAACTATTGGTTCGCTTGCCCAAAAAAATAAAAGTAATAAATAAATAATGATAATGATGGACTGGTTTGTTAGCTAGTGTCACCCTACTATTTTTTAGTTTATAATATACTTTTGAGCCCGGGTTCCTCTGGGGGAGGGGGTTTCTTCCTATATACAGTAGCCTATACGGGGCGGGAATACGGGGAGACTCACCCCTGAAGGGAAACCTTTTTCAAGCTTCAGGTATATCAAAGATTAGGGATTTCACGAGTTTAAGTATATGAAAGGTTAGGGGGAAATCTGTCGTTTCGGTAGGTAGAAGGATCCAGTGTAGGGCTGACATTTATTTTAAGGCTGTGAAAAGGTCAAGAAAACGTAAAAAACGTCCTGTTTTAGTGATAGCGAAACACATTTAAAAAACAGTGAATTTACCGCAGTTCAAAAGGATGAAGCGCCCTAACCCAGGTATGTGAAAGGGATACCCGGCATTTCTCAATAGAGGTTATACGAAAGGGGTACCGTTTCTGTCAGAATGGTATATGAAAGGGTAAGGGGTTGGACGTCAAGGCGACGCTTCCCCCGTATATAGTGCACCTTGTTTACCCCCAAATTTTACATAATCAGGGGGTCTTGGATTTCTCTTGGGACGACTGTAATACCCAGGAGAAATTGGAAACCGATGTTATGCAAAATTGGAAGGGGAGGGGGGGGATGGAGGGTGTAAACAAGGTGCATTACTTGAGTCTATGTGAAAGTGGTGAATAACACTTTGTTGAGTGCTCCCCTCCCCTCACCGGAGTACCCATTACTTTAAAACAAGAGAAGAATGAGCTCTAANGTAATAAATAAATAATGATAATGATGGACTGGTTTGTTAGCTAGTGTCACCCTACTATTTTTTAGTTTATAATATACTTTTGAGCCCGGGTTCCTCTGGGGGAGGGGGTTTCTTCCTATATACAGTAGCCTATACGGGGCGGGAATACGGGGAGACTCACCCCTGAAGGGAAACCTTTTTCAAGCTTCAGGTATATCAAAGATTAGGGATTTCACGAGTTTAAGTATATGAAAGGTTAGGGGGAAATCTGTCGTTTCGGTAGGTAGAAGGATCCAGTGTAGGGCTGACATTTATTTTAAGGCTGTGAAAAGGTCAAGAAAACGTAAAAAACGTCCTGTTTTAGTGATAGCGAAACACATTTAAAAAACAGTGAATTTACCGCAGTTCAAAAGGATGAAGCGCCCTAACCCAGGTATGTGAAAGGGATACCCGGCATTTCTCAATAGAGGTTATACGAAAGGGGTACCGTTTCTGTCAGAATGGTATATGAAAGGGTAAGGGGTTGGACGTCAAGGCGACGCTTCCCCCGTATATAGTGCACCTTGTTTACCCCCAAATTTTACATAATCAGGGGGTCTTGGATTTCTCTTGGGACGACTGTAATACCCAGGAGAAATTGGAAACCGATGTTATGCAAAATTGGAAGGGGAGGGGGGGGATGGAGGGTGTAAACAAGGTGCATTACTTGAGTCTATGTGAAAGTGGTGAATAACACTTTGTTGAGTGCTCCCCTCCCCTCACCGGAGTACCCATTACTTTAAAACAAGAGAAGAATGAGCTCTAAATTGTAAATACTCTTGTTTTTGGCCGTCTTAGCTTAAGTAGAAACAAAAAGCAAACTGCAGTGATAAACATGAGTATTTCTGGGTCGAAAAAGTAAAGTGGTCATCGGAACGGGAGATTTAAAAGCCAACGTTTCGAGCCTTTCAGGGTAACATCCAATGCATGGACTGTGGATTTTTTGTGGTATTTCGGATGCTGGAACTACTACTGTGGTCCCCAGGGCTTAAAATTCTAGAGAGTATGGGAGGTGTGTCGGGCGCCCCTCCCATTTTCCAAGGGATAAGCTCTAAGGGCGAGGTTGACACGGCAGGGAATGAGCGTTCATTGATTCCGTGGGGATAATTAAACAGTGTCGATAAGAGAAATAAATCTTTTTGCTTGATTTTCAGGCTTTTGGTATTTCATTGATGCAGGGAGAGGACGCTGATCGGCCACCGTCGCAGTATCATATTCTCTTTAGTCGAAAAAGTAAATGACCGATTTATTCATATTCTGTGGCCTGACAAGTCGACACCAGTTTTCCATGATCTGTACTCTTATCGGTCATACGACCTAATTTTCAATGAAAGTTAACGTAATCGAAGAAATTACTTGCAAATATCAAAATCACAGCTTTATGTGAAAGAGTAAAAAAAATAAGCTTAGAAAAACTGTAAATTGCAATCCGTTTCACATCAATGTTGCCCTTCAGCTCAACAAGCCCCAGGCCTGACTCTATATTCGTCAAAAATAATTTACATATTAGAAGCAAAGAATTGAGACGACATTATTCTAAAATAAGGTGACCGGACATTTTCTTTCGAGTCAAAAACTATACAATGGTACACTTGAAAAGAGAGTTCTTGTTGAAAACCCACCACTCCCGTGCATATACTACAGTTGTACATAAAGTAAGGAAAAGACCAATCTACCTGGACAGTACTCATTAAAAGTAGAATTTTCGTTCTGACATGATTGGTCTGGCCAGCCACTTCTGAATGATGGATAAGCGCTCTCACATGTAAGAACTCATTTCCAATTTGTAGTTTATATTCATCATTACTAATTAATTAATAAATTAATAAATTCATATATTTATTTGCTTTGAATTTCTTTTCAATATCATTATAAATTTTGAGAATATTATTAAGTTCCGCTATCTTTGTTACTGTTTCTTTCCACAACAATAGACAGCTTCAGATCCTAAGACGAGAACGATTACGAGTACGAGATTTCCTCTATACTGAGTATTGCTCGCGCGTTAACCGGCATTTTGGCGGGAAAACGTGATAGCTGTCGTCATTCTACTACGGGTTTTAGCAAGAATGTCGTATTGCTGGAAACAAGTTATCAAAAGTTTAATCATTTTGCGATAAGGAGAATGCTCCAATAAAGATAACAGTGCTATTACTTTTGTGATGAATCAAAAGTACAATGACGCTTACTGGGGTGACTATTTTTGAGAATACTCGAAAAGACTTCCAGTCAAATCTCGCACTCGTAGTCGTTCTCGTCCTCGAAATAAATTATCTATAGGCCTCTAATGATGCCACAGGAGTCCTTGCATCATTACTCATCAGAATGTTGGGAACATGAACTTGAAGTAGCGAAGTGCATAGTCACTGTCCCCTTAATTACCTTGCCACACTGGTAACAAAAGGGTGTTTTACAGTTCCAACACTTCATGTGGTTGTTGTTGTTGACTTTAAGACACTTCTGATGGCAACGGGGACAAAGTCTTGTGCGCTCTTTCGCCTTTGGGTTGTCCTTTTCAGCTCGTCCAGTTACTGGTAAACTCTCTTCTGTTGCTTTCACTGTTGGTGCTGGCTGTTGAGGCGGTAACCTTACTTCCTGTCTTCCACAATACTGAAAGTGGTCATATCCTGAAATTTCTTTACCTACCAAAAAAGTAAAAATGATAATGATAATAGTAATAATAATGATAATGATAACGATAACGATAACTAAAGATAATGATAATGATAATGATAATGATAATGATAATGATAATAATAATAATATGGGTCCAAAAAACTATAATTCAGTTATACCTTTAATCTTAGACTAAAAGACCTGCAGGTCAGATGGGCTGCCTAGTACTTTACATGTAGTTCGTCCAGACTGAGCCCCTTTACCCCAAGTCTGCATCTACCACTGAAATGGTTAGAGTTGTGACCAGTACCAATAATATTAGTGTGTCACACAGTTCAGGAAGCTAAACACACATTGCAATCCACACAATGAAGCCATTTTTTGGAGGGGGAGGCATTCTATTGTACAGCAGGTGCTGTCAGAAAATAAATAATTTTAAACAAATTTTATTAAATATGTAGATTGATCATTTCACATTCCGCAAAATAGAGTACAGGTTTCTGTGTTACAGAGCCTCAATATTCCCCAAGGCAAGGCTGAGAGGAACACCAAAAATCTTACACAATGTTTCACTATTACTGTTGTTATTGTTATTGTTGTTGTACTATTGATGATTTTATAACTGAAAAATTATTGATTTATATTTGTAATGAGATTTCTTTGAATTATCAAAATAAGTCATAATTATTTTAATTTATTGAAGATTCAGTACCACAGCCAGAACTTACAAAGGACACAAAAATGCAATTTGAGCCATAAAATTGCTTGAAAAGATTTTCTCGGAGGTCAGCCACATTAAAAACTATTGAAGAGGATAATTTTAGGGAAAAACAAAGTAAGGTGCTGCTTATCTGCGGGTGATTAATCGTAAAGTACAAGTAGACTGAAGTAGTACAACTGTACTCACTACACATACCACATGTCCAGCAAAAGCTCGCTGTACATTGTGAACAGTGCATCATATCACATCCAGAGATTCTTTCTACAGCCATGCGGCACCTTGGACAAGACTGATAATTTCCCTGTTGCCTCATCAGCCGGATGAATGATAGGTTGCTGAGTTTTTGTTCCCTGTACTCTCTTTCTTGCCTTCCAGAAGATGACACTGCAGCCACTGCACTCCTGTCTGCATTCTCTCTACTATCATTTTCTTTGGACTTTGAAAAGATGCCTTTCAGTTCATCATTTTTCTTATCATGAACTGTCAAGTCAGTTTCTTTAAAACATGGCTTTCCATGGTGCCATGGTTCAAAGCACTCTGTACAAAATTCAAAAGAACAGTATGCACATGTTCCATGGCTTGATGACTCTTCCTCATCAAAGACTACGGCCATGGTACATCTTGGGCAGATGTCCACATCAGTGACACCCAAATCTTCTAAAGTCTTGACACGAAACAGTTTTTCGTACTGCCTAAATGTTTCTTCATCGAGTATCCCACGTAGGATTTCCACTGAGATTGCTGCTTTGCAACCAGGATACAGGCACCTTATGTTTAATAAAGTTCTACAATCAATATGCCACTGAATATGTGCCTTCAAACATTCTGTGCAGAAGAAGTGTTTACACTGATAAAGGTAATGAAATTTTGCCTTGTCCATTTTAACAGAGCAGTTTCGACACATGCGCATTCGCAATGTTGCCTCATCAACTATCCCTTGTATAATTTCTTCTGAGATTAGTGCCTTGCAAGCTTGATTTATGCATTGAATTCTTAAAGTAGTGCCACAACTGTTAATATGCCTGTCAATATGTTCCCTCAAGCACTTTGTACAAAAGAAGTGACTGCATTCATATAAGTAGTAAAATTTCGCCTTATCCATTTTAACAGAACAGCCTTGACATGGGCGTGTTCGTAGAGCAGCACTTGAGTCTGAATGCACCTCACCATAATCTTCACTGCTACATGCAGCTTCATCATTAGAACCCAAATCAGCTTCTATACGGCACGGCAATCCATGATGCCAAGATTCATAACATTCAGTACAAAATGCATAAAAGCAATTTGCGCAGTGGCCAAGTCTCAAGGATTCATCTTCATCAACAATAACTGCTATATTACATCTTGGACAATAAACAACCCCACCCATAACATCCAAAGTCTTGCTGAGGAGCAGCCTTTCCCATCGCTCAAACTTCTCATCATCAAAAACCATTTGAAGAACTTCTGGTGGAATTTTTGTCTCGCAATCATGGCTTGGACATAGTAATTTTAATACATTTCCACTGTCTATGTGCAACTGACAATGTGCTCTCACACAGTCAATGCAGAAGAAGTGCTTGCACTCTTGGAGGTACTGAAATTCTGTACCTCCCTTTTCATCAAAGCAAATTTCACAGAGGTGTGTGTTTTGGCAAAATGCTTGCTTTTGCATCTCAATGTCATGTTCAAAGACAGTTAGCAAAACTGTCTCCCACTTTGAGTTGAATCCTTTGCTTGAAACTACACCTACTTGCGAATGACAAGGGGTGTTACCATGAGGGGCAATTTCATTTTCATCAGACTCTTTCAGAACCAGGTGTTTACCCAACTGCAAATACTCATATGCATCATTTTGCAACCAATCAGCCCAAGTAAAGATTATTGGCAAATCAGGAGTCTCCATCCACAATTGCATCAGCTTGCCCCGCAATACTTGTAGCTGACTTGTGGTGAGCCACAGGCATGCCAAGGAAAAATCAGGTGGACACTCCGTGGGGTAGAGTGGAGGTAGTGAACAAGTAAGATGTATTGGAGTCAAGTATTGAATGTCTGCATTCACGTGCCAGTTTTGCAAAGACACAGACCTCGTAAAACCAGGTTTTCTTGGACATCCTGAGAGACTGTTAGAAGAAACGCCGTGATCATTTTCATCCATAGAACTTGCTTCCAGATTAATTTCTTGTTCACGAGGATGACTCTTAATGAAATTAGAATCACTGGAGACTTCTTCCTCCTTCAAACCACTTTTTAGAGTTACGGCAGGAACAGAAGCTTCCAATTTGATTGTGTCGAAAGGAATGTTGACTTTGATCTTCAAAGCAAAAGAAGTTTCGGAATAACTATCACCTGTTTGGAGGATCTGGAGATCATCCCCAAAGATTGACTGAAGAACAGTAATTTCCTCTAGCTGTTCTTCGAGAATAGCTTCCCATGTATCTTCCATACATTTTGCCATTTTGCTTCTAATCTGACCGGTCTCCTTCACTAAAATTAGTAAAAATGTGTTTCTGATGTTTCTATGATAACATCTCTACACCTCTGTCTAACAGGAATACGTGTCTAGTCGGATATTATTGAAGAATTGCTTTCAAGTGGTGCAATACATCTACTTCCGCTATGTTTGATTCGTTTCCCAAAGGATGTTGGGATGTGGCGCAAACGTTAACTGGCACTCTTGAATAAGGATTCCGGAGTGGAATTTTAGCGGTGAGGGTAAAAGGCTGAATGAGTTTGCGGAATGGCATGTGGCATGGCTTGCGGAATGTAATATATGCAGAATGACTTAAAGAAATAAATTAAACTGAAAATTGCGCCCGACTACGATGACAATCAAAAAGCTAGGAAAGACTCCTTGATTTCTTACGGTCGATTAGCTTTTTACTCAGCCAAAAAGATTCTTCTTGCCTTTATTAGTCGGGCTGCTGGCAGCACCGATACTACATCACGAAAGTCGGCCATTGAAGAAAAAATGTTTTGGAAGGTCACACTCTCTTCTGCTTTAATTTTTTTCTGCAAAAAATATTTGCACAATTAACGTCACTTTTTCTAAATCTTATTTGCATTTGAAACCGTGTGAGAAGCGTTTCTTTTACAGACGGGGGGTCGCGTGATTGTTCCTGACGTAATATTCAGAGATCGAACATGTCTTGTATTTTGTTTTTCAATTTTCTTGGCTGCGTGGTGAAGTTTCAGGCACGCGAAGCTAACAGCTGGCCGAGAAGCGCGAGCTCGAATCCTGGCAATCGAGTTTGTGTGCTTTTTGTCTTCCTTCCTTTCTTTTCTTTTACTTTTCCTTCCTACTTTTCGCATTTTTTCTCCTTTACCTTTCCTTTATTAAGTTTGTAAAGTCGGTTCGGCATAACACTAACTGTTTAAAAAAGATACATACATAACTATTAAGGAAAATACATATTAATGACTTGGCTAGTTCAAACAAACAAGGGAGGTGAGAAGAGACGCGGAAAAGCCTAAAGGAGACAAATAGAAGTTCGCCGCTTCACTCGATTTGTGGATTAAAGATTAGTGTTTGACTCGAGGCGCTCATTTAGTCTCGAATATGATCTGATTCGTTCACCGGCGTATTTAAAATCCCTAGAATTGTTTCTAGCCCGACTTCACGTTCAGCGAGCGTTTTTCACCCTCTAGCGTTGCCATAAAGAGTGACTCTTAATTTGAGTAGCACAGGTTATATACCCCTAAAAACCCAGACAGATTTGTGACACATTTATTTACGTCTGCACGTATTTACCAGGCTTATTTCTTTATTTCATTTGGGACAACGAGTCTGCCATTTCCTAACAGCCTCGATCCCAGGGTCCTCTCTCTTCCTTTCTATTTTACCTCGTCAGCCGTTACGAGGTTTTTCTATGTAATGAGGAGAGTAAAAACTCAATAGAAGACTGTTTAAACTTGACATGTTTTCCTACTTTCAATGCGCTTCTCTGGAAATGAGATGTGGGTAAAGAACGGTTTCAGATTATTTTGGAAACGAGTTATTAATGATTTATCAAGTATTCGTGTATCAGCTGTGTTTTAATTTTAGCCTTGCTTTAGTAGCAGTAATAAATGTACCAGCAAATCGATTGCTCACTCAAATTGGCGTCAAAAATAGCCCGGCAGAGACGCGCGCATGCTTTCCTGTTGAATTTCTTTCTTTGCGTATAATTATGTCATTCCGCAAGCCATGCCACATGCCATTCCGCAAACTCATTCCGCCTTTTACCCTCACCGGAATTTTAGGACTTAAGTCAAACCAGGATTTAGGAAAGCCGTTAACTCTAGAAAGATTTCTGGAATGTTTGAATGTTTCTGAGTTGCAAGAAAAAAGCCAATCAGGAGTAAGAAAACCAAACCGCAAGAGAACGTTAATTAGTTTTGTGGCTAGTAGCTAACACACTCCCGATAAGTTAATTAGGTAAAAGCGGTACAATATATGTCCCCATACATGAAGTACCTACCCATTAGCAGCGTTGCCCCGCTGACCAAAAAGCCTGAAGACTCTGTGTACGAGATTGGGTTTGTAAGCAGATTTTGAGACAGACGCAGCAAGTTTAGGCTTTGTCATGGCTCTCTCGCATAAAAGAAAAGCCGTACTTTGTTTAAATTTAAAAGCCGATTTTCAGGATGAAGAGCAACATACCAAAAGAGGCCGGGGAAAGACGCAGAAGTTGTTGCTTGCTAGCCATAAATTGCTTGTTTACGTCCTCCATTAAAAGCGAAATTAGGCATGTTCACGTCGTAGTCGTGCAAAAACGGGCAGAGAAATGTACAAAAAAGCGTGGTGCACATGCAAAGTTGTTGTTTTGCTAATAAGACCTATTGTTTTTTTTGACGTTCTTGTTACCGTCCGCGTCGTTGGATCTTAAGGTCCCTAATAAGTCGGAAGGGGCAGCGACTATTTTTTCCAAATTTTCGAGGCAGGTTCACTGCAATATAGACCTTGTCACGGTTTTCGACGCCATCTTGACGAGTAGGCAAACGCGTGAGAAATTACAGTGTTTGTATGAGAATCTAATGTCGAATAGTTTCCGTAAAACGGCTGTTATGAAAAAAATATCAATTGTAAACTAAAGCTACAAGGCAAAAGATTGTCCTAAAAAATTTTGGGGCGTACCTGTGCTTAAATTTCTCCAGAGGCTTGCTTTAGATTTTCCATATATTTGTCTGTAATTTTCCACAAATCATATTTTTTTCAGAACAGCCGTTCCACGGAAATTATTCGACATTAGATTCTCATACAAACACTGTAATTTCTCACGCGTTTGCCTACTCGTCAAGATGGCGTCGAAAACCGTGACAAGGTCTATTGTAGGAATACTACTTTTGACTGCTCCTAGCCACAGTTTATAGTGTCCTTCGGTTTAATTTTCTTGGATATTAAAATTTATCTGAAAGCAAAAACAACAACAAAAAAGGCGGCACGGGTTGGAGAGAAACAGTAAAAAGCATTATGAAATCAGTCATATCCCGGATGATTCCTCTGGCTTGATTATTTCTTTGGGCTGGAAGAAACCTTAGCAAAGCACTCACACCAGAGTGCATATGTTAAAAGAAATGAAAGCTCTGAGATATGCCCTCCCACTTAATTAATTCCTATTTGGCTTTTTACATATTCAATTTTGCCTTTTAGCATTTTTCTATGAGATGGTTTTAGCAGTTGTTCATTTTATGTTTCTCTAGCTCTTCTGATTTCCATCTACGTTACATCGTTTCCATAAAGACGGCTATATAAGTAAGCCATTTTTTTCTTTTCTTTTCTATTTTTTTAATTGAATTATTGATCAACACAAACGCTGAGGAAAATTACTACTGGTATTTGCTTTCATGGCGATAACATAAACCCTTTGCGTCACAAATCAAAACAGCAAAAAGGCTTTAGTTCAATAAAAGGACGAGCAACGTCAAATTTATCCTTTTCAGCGTAAATTAAAATCCGACAAATCAAATTAATAAGGCGATTTTCTCTCAAGCCGACACATTCTTCTGACAGCCTTCTTGAGTGTATTTACTTCAAGATAAATTTTCAGGATCAAAAAATTGTAAAACAGTTTCTGAATCACGTACGGGGACGATCGTGTGTAGAAGGGAAATATTATGAAAAACTTATTATATTGACACTTCTAGTATTACATTTGTCCACTGAATCCAAATACTAAAGACGAGCTGTATCCTCTTGGCTTCAAATTCGTGTATTAGCTGGACTCCACAGGTAAACCTTTAAACCATAACATTTTAGCTTATCGGCTAAACAGTGTTAACATTATAATATGATACCTTTGCAGAAACATCACATGTGGCTTTAAAAAGAAAAGCGAAAACTTCTGAATCTGATTCCGTGTTTTTCTGACATCAGCTGGCCATTTTTGTTGTTGATCGGTAATGTTTAGTAGTAGTGAATCTTATGGTGAAGTTTATTGATGCTAATTTTTGTCAGTGACCATACAACAGCCAGAAGAACAAGCCGTTTTGTATAAATTTAATTAGACTTTTTTGCACGTACTGAGTGAACTGTTTTTTTTTTTCTTTAAAAAACAAACAAACAAAAACAGAAACCTGTCAGTTCCGTTTACTTACTTTACGAGGATTTAAGTCTTCCTCTTTAACAGTGCATCCAGAGGCTGTATCAAAGACACTAAAGTGCTGATACTTTTTATGCCTTGCAAATGTGACGATCAAGTCAACTGCCCTCTGGAGTCGATCAACAAACTTAGACGGAGCTTCAATATTTGGATGAGTACAAAAATAAAACTACATATATATGTATATGAACAACGGAAGGTTGAATTACAATACTCCTTATTCATCTGGGACTGGTTTTGTGCTGACTGAACTCGCATCGCGCGAAAAGTGAAATTGGAATTTCAGGACCCACTGCATGTTTCCCCATACCGCGCAAATCAGCGTGCGCGCAAGGCAGCATGGGCCCCATATAAATTATGAAACAACAGAATTTTCGTTAAAACTGCAACAATTTTCAGATAACTAATAGGGCCATTTTACATGAGAAAAAATGAGCCGCATCTCTAAAGTAAGATGCGAACTTCCTGTATTAAAAACCTTCGCCACGCGACTCATCGCGTCTTGTTTTTCCTAAAAACTGAAAAAACTGCATGAACGGCCCTATTGACTCATCACCAGCATTGTACGTAATTAGAATGAATTTCGAATTCAGGAAAGTAATGTTTGTTAGGTTGTTATTAAATGAATAATTAATGCCTTCGAAGGATTAAATATGAAAAGATGAATAAGCCGACTGAGCCGGTCCAACACATCTTAAACCTTTTTTGCAAATGCCATGATAATATTGATTTCGTTATTAACCGCCGATCACGAACTCTAGAAAATCTGGGATCAATATGTAAAGAGTTTTCCTCCTGGCTTTGAAGTCTTGACAGCTTGGAAAAAAGCTAACCCAAGCTCTTTTCAGACAGTCCAAATAATTATTGTCAGGTCAGA